ACCTAAATGCGCGCGGGGGAGAGAGAGAGAGAGAGAGAGAGAGAGAGAGAGAGAGAGAGAGAGAGAGAGAGAGAGACCTATACGCGAGAGACGTCGGGGATGGCGACGACGACGACGACGGCTACGACAAGCGCGCGAACGGGAGCCGGATCTTTCAGCGCGCTCTCAAAATCTTTCAGCGCGCACTCAAAATCTTTGAGCGCGCGCTGAAAAAATTGAGCGCGCGCTGGAGGGGAGGGCGGCAGACCGGGGGCACAGGGTTTCGGATGGGCATAGTCCCTGGTGCTACCAGCTGTCCCCTGGCCGGTGTGGCCCACGGGAGAGGCTGTGCCGCGCGCAGGAGGGGAGGGTGGCGGGGACCGGGGGCACAGGGATTCGGTTGGGCATAGTCCTTGGTGCTACCGGCTGTCCCCTAGCCAGTGTGGCCCGCTTGCACGCGTGCTTAGCAGGTGGGTAGTGTGAGGTTAAATGGAGAGAAGAATATAGCTTTAACAAAAAAAAAAAAAAAAAAAAGGGAGGCACGGGCCGCCTGTGGACCGACGACGGGTTGGCGGAGGTGGGCTGGCAGCGGCGACGGCCTGGCAGTGTTGCAGCGACGGGACACCACAGGTTGTTCGGGAGGACTGGGTGGCGTTTCGGCGGTAGATGAGGGTTGGGAACGGGGTGAACGCAGCCTTGCTGAAGGCTGTTTCTTACGGGTCGACTGGCGCGGCTACAATGTCGAAGCGTCAAGTAAACACCTTCGTCCAGGCCAGCGACGACACGCAGGCGAGCATGAAGAACTCGAACTGCATTTACAAATACGTGCTCGTTGGCCAGGAGCTTTCTGAGAAGCTCCGTAGTCAAAGGATGCTTCGGTGCGTGTTCTGCGGGAATGAGTGGCAGGGGAACAGGCATGGGGCGGCGCGACATTTTCGTAGCGTGAAGGGATGTTCGCAAGTGACCGACGAAGCTCTTATGGAGATGCATTACACGAGCGGTTACGCATTTGAGGGAATGTGTTGGAGTGGATCCACAAGTACGAGGAGCTTCACGGTCCTTGGGTGGATGAGAGGAGGACTGGAGGGGGTCAGGCGCAGGCGTGGGCGGCGTCCAACGCCCCAGTTGGAGCACGGCAACAGGGCGATGACGTCGTCGATTTGGATGGCAAGGGAGAGGATTGCGGGGCCGCGGGGGTAGAGGGGGAGGTCGAGGCTACGTGCTCACAGCGCCCAGGCAAGTTGCCGGTTGGTGAGGGTGGTTTGAATTCAGGGAAGAGGAAGGGTGTGGTTGGTTCAACGATGCAGCAGGGGAAGAAGATGAGGCAGCCGACGATAAAAGAGGTGTTTGGGTCTGACCGGGCTGCACAACACAGGAAGTTGTGGTTGCGCTTCGTGTACAGCAACCAGCTTCCCTTCAACATCTTTCGGAGCCCGACGTGGAAGGCGTACCTGCACACTTCAGGGACAAACCCGCATCAGTCCCCTTGGTTTGGCCTTCTAAAAACGAAGTCGTAGTGCTTGAGACGGCGACGGACGTTGTTGCGGGTCTCAAAGACATACAGGAGCCGTTTGACCGCACAGGGGCGACGATCATGCCCGATCGTAGGAAGTCTCGTGATGGGAAACCCATCGTGAACTTCCTTGCAGCCGGTGCTAGAGGAGTGATGATGTATCGCACCCTCAACAGGGAGGGTGAGACTGATGATGCGCTCGCAGTGTTGGGGAGGTGGATATCGGTTTTGCACGACTTCGATCCTGACAGGGTTAACGCCATTTGCACAGACTCTGCGTCTGCCTGCGTAAAGGCAGGCAACACTTTGGCCCATCCTCACATGCGGCCTGAGTAAAGACGGATTACGTGGCTTCCCTGTGCAGCGCATGTGTGCAACAAATTGTTGTCGGACATCGGGACAGCGGGCCCGTGGTGCGTAGACATCATTGTGCGGGCGAGAGCGGTGGTGCATTTCATAAAAATGCATGGCCGAGCTGATTTTTTGTTCAGGAGAGAGAGTCGTCATCTAGGTTTGTTGTACTCTTGTGAGACTCGCTACGCTTCTGTGTACGCCATGCTAGAGCGGTTGGATGCTGTGCGGCGTCCTTTGGAGCGGATGGTAGACGGGACAGACTGGTGCAGGGATCCTTGGGCGACTACGTCGATCAGGCAGCATGCGCGATGGGTGCGGTGGCAAATCCGGCATGGCAGTTGGTGGGACTCCATGGACATCTTGCGTGCGGTTATGGAGCCGACTTATGATCTGCTGCGCAAGATGGATCGTGGAGGGTTATGCATGTCTCGAGTGGTCGAGTGGATGGGACGGTTGGCGAGGGAGGTGGAGGCGGCTGTTAGACCGCTGGAGGATGGATTGGCGGATCAGATTTTCAAGTGCGTGCAGGAGCGCGTCGCTCATATGTGTGAGCCTGCGCATGCTGCGGCGCACCTCCTTTGTCCGATGAGGAGGTCGATGCAATATTAAAACGGCGTGGTGAAGGACGAGGACAAACGACTTGTGAGGGAGGCGGAGCGGTACATTCTGTTGCAGACCGGGTTTCATGAGCGGCGGAAGGAGTACCGAGACGCTGTGTTGCAGTTGCGGGACTTTCATATGCGCACATCGACTTGCGCATGAGGAGGGGAGCGCGCACGTGCCGCAGCGGAGATGTGTGTCAGAGAGCAGGAGACCGTTGAGAGTGGTCTTTGGTGGTCACAGTATGGCGGTTGTGCTCCTGAGCTTCAGCGTATCGCTCTTYGTGTGTTGTWCATGTGGACGTGCTCCTCTCCCGTAGAGCGGAACTGGGCCATCCACGAGAGTATTCACACGAAGAAGCGTAACAGGTTGATGTTCCCAAAGGTCGCGAAGTTGGTGGAGATCACGGCCAACACGCGACTTTTAGCTCTCCAGAGCGGTGGTGGAGGTTTGGTTCTTCCATGGACTCAGGATGAGTCCATACTGGATGTCGAGGGTGGCTTGGAGGTAGACGCTGTATGCAAGGGGGTGGACCACAGCATACCCGAGGAGGACCGCGATGCGCAGGCGCAGTTGTGGCGGCGGGATGCTTGTGGGTCACGACCACTGCCTCCCGTTGAGGATGTGTTCGGGGTTCTTGCTGCCACTTTGAGGCCATACCCGAGAGATGACTCGAGTGGAGATGAGCGCGAGGAGGCAAATGAGGGTTTCCGGCCCTGCAGTGCTGGTGCTGCCCGGCGTGCCGAGGACGACAATGACAGTTGGAGTGACCCTGGGGAGGTTCGCCGGCGTAGCGGTGGCAAAGATTTATTCGAGGACACAACTAGGGGCAGGTTTGGAGTCGAGGGATGCTGGGACGGATCTGGGAACCCTCTTGTCGAGCTGATTCCTCATACCTCATCGTCGATCGTACATAGGGCAGAGGAGGACATAGCGGGCATGCGAGGAGCCCATCACAGACAGGGTCCGACAGGCAGCGGCGAGGATTTAGAAGGGCGTGGAGGAGGTGTGAGGCTTCTGCGGCTTCGGAAGGGTCCGAAGGTCACAAAGAGACAACTCATACTAGGGGTGCGAACGGTGCGGGGACAGGGGGAGCGGAGATCGGAGACGCAGGACATGATCGTCCGACAAACGACAACAGGGCGATAGGCACCGGAGATGTGGCCAGAGGTGTTGCTTGGTCGCTAGGGGACATTGGGACGCTAGGCGCTCTACCTGGTAGTAGCATGGGTCATGCGGAGCAGTTTGATGATGCCCATCATGAGGGGGTGCCACAAGATGAGGCAGTTGGCGGTGGGGACCATGCTTTGGAATCAGCGTTCATGCGCGATTTCATGGCCGAGCTAGAGGCCACTCTGCCATCCATGATGGAGGGTGAGTCTATTGTTGCGCGACGGGCCGACGACGAGGATGTTCGGCCTCGGCCACAGACAGTTCACATGGGAGTGCCTGCACCCGACACCGAGGAGGAGCGGATGGCTCGAGAGGCAAGGGAGGATGAGGAGGAGGCCGCAAGGGCCAAGGCCCTAGCTGATGCTGAACCACACACACAGGCCATGGCACGTGACATGGAGGCCATGCTTCAGTTAGAGACTGGGGGAGAAGGACTGCGAGGCGATGTGGCGGAGGATGACCGGCTGGAGGCAGCTGCCCACATTTCACATGCGGCTCGAGAGATAGACGACGATGCACCACTGCCCGATATCGACAGCGCACCAATCGTCCCGCCACCACCAGACGGAGACGTGGACGCCGTTGCAGTGGCACACGACAGAGAGGCGCACGGCGAGACAGTGGTTCAGTCCACTTTGGCAGAGGATGATGCTGCTCAGGCGGTGACCCCTCAGATAGTCGATGGTGTAGATACGGCTTTGTTGGGAGATCTAGGAGCGGTACCAGGGGGAGATGTGCAGGATGAGGAGGCAGTTGGGAGTCCAGCGGCGGTGGGGGGAGATGCAGAGACAGGGGAGGACAAGGTTCGGGAGGTACATGGAGATGTGGGTGCGCCCTCGACTATACCTGGTTCACGCGAGGAGGAGGGAGCAGGAGTCATGGCGCCACCGCCCATTCGGCATGATTCACTGACGGCCACACTTCGACCACCCAGTTAGCGGTCGCGGCGGCGTCCGCCTCGTTACGTAGAGCAGCCACGAGGCAGTTTGATGTTCGGCGCGATGACTGTCGATGAGTTCTGCGCTTGCCTTGCGACTGATCTCACAGAGACGAGACGTGGAGTGAGGATCGGCTCAAAGAAAGGCAAAGCACTACTACCACGCGTGCAGTCCGTTTCATGGGGCCCTGCTAGCCCGACACCGCCATCAGACGCTTCGGTAGCGGTGGGTGCCTTGGGAGTTGGTGCGGCACAGTCCCCTCCCAGTGTGGCACGAGATCACGGGACACGACCTTCTGCGCCAACCTCAGCGGTGGGCAGGCCTCGAGAGCGTGGACAGGCGACAGCAGGGGCCGTGGCTTCTTTACTTGGCCGCACTGACATTCCTTGGAGCAACACGAGGAGGTCGACCGCGGGTACCAGGAAGAGGCAGCCCGGGTTGGGGAGGAGACACTCGTCCACATCATCGACAAGGGAGGTGCATGCTGCTGGGTTCGAGCATCGTGGCGGGTCGGGTGCTGAGGTTGAGGGTGCGGGCGGACGTGGATCTGCAGTGCCCGGCGCACGAGTGTCGACTCACGGATTGAGGGAGGTTTCACAGATCCTCGGGGCAGATGTGTTGGGGCCTCCCAGGACACAGCGACCGCTACCCAGACGAGCATCACGCCTGGACGGCGAGACCACCGGGAGCGAGGGGTTGGAGATGATGCGAGGGAGATGTCGCACGGACACCCTCTTAGCGGCGTCGCAGAGGGAGATGAGACTGGATGGCGTCACGGTGGTTGACGACGATCACACTGACGCCGCTGCAGAGGAGGCTGACAGAGAGGAGGACCTGTCGATACACGAGGCACGGCTGGCGACCTTGGAGCGTGGAGAGCGGCGGGGCACGAGCCCCCGCACACGCCCTGGACGCCATTGACTTTTTGGTGATTGTCAGTGGTCAGCGGCACGACCGCATTACGTAGTTTTGACACGTTCCCTTATCGTTTGTCGCTGTAGGATGGTCTTTTTCCTTATTAGGCAGTGCACATTTTTCTTATTTCATGCAGATGGTTCATTGTGAAACCTTTCTGGGTGCACACACGTTTCGACCTTTCATATTTCGTATGGTACGCTTACTTAGACAGTACTGTTTGTTATTGTCCATGATGTTTTATACGGCATAACTCTATGTGCAAACTGTATGCAGCCATATGTTTTTTTTTTGTATCTTTTGTGTGCATTTTTCCTTTCCCTTTGGACCTCATCTGCCTAGTTTTTGTTGTTTCTTCTTTTGTGCAGGTGACCGATGTTTTTTTTT